GAAAAAAAATTACCCCTACCCCAGCCAAAACCAGGACAGTATCCACCCCTTATTCTGTACCATCTACGTCATGCCCAGGTCCTACCCTTTCCAATACATTCTAATTAATCACCACCGCTTTTCCCATCTTGATATATACACACAGATATCATTCCCTTAGTCTATGGGCCATCCCTATAAAATGTCCATTGAGTTTATTCAGTCCATGACTTTGGGTTCCATCTGTCATAATAGTCTTTCAGGGCAGAAGAGATGGTGTGTGGTGTTGGATTGCTGCATGTTGCATGTTGAAGCCAGTTCTGGTTTCATCACCGCTGCACTTTGCTTGGTTTCATCAGAGTTCATTCTTCATTAATCTGGGTGATTCTTATTGTAATACCATTGATATGGCATATAACAACCATAAAAGAGATGACATACGGTATTATATAGCAATTAGCATCATACCATTCAGTTCATTGGCTATTTTCACCCAAAATCAAATCCCCTTGAGGTACACATTGGACTTCCCCATCCTTTTGCGTTACCCATGAAGTGCACCCAGGTCCTTGAGCAAAAGCAATCCCATGAATGTGTTTTTCCTTTGCCCGAAGCAGGAGTAACCCAGACTGTCTTTCCCAGCATATTTTTTACATGCACTAGAGGGACTTTATCCCCCTCTGCAGTACTGTAAAGTTTTGATTGGGCAGGGCCAGCTCGATTGGCAGATCCCCTAGTCTTGACTAACCAGGTGGTCTTTGCTAAATGCGTATCCCAATGTTTAAATGTCCCACCACCCATTGCTCTCAGGGTAGTCTTTAACAGTCCATTGTATCATTTGATTTTCCTGGAGGCTGGTGCATGGTAGGGGATGTGATACACCCACTCAATACCATGCTCTTTGGCCCAGGTGTCTATGAGGTTGTTTCGGAAATGAGTCCCGTGGTCTGACTCAATTCTTTCTGGGGTGCCATGTTGCCATAAGACTTGCTTTTCAAGACCCAGGATGGTGTTCCAGATGGTGGCATGGGGCACAGGATATGTTTCCAGCCATCCGGTGGTTGCTTCCACCATGGTGAGCACATAGCGCTTGCTTTGGCGGGTCTGTGGGAGTGTGGTATAATCATTCTGCCAGGCCTCCCCATATTCATATTTCAGCCATCGTCCTCCATACCAGAGAGGCTTTAATCGCTTGGCTTGCTTGATTTCAGCACGTTTCACGTTCATGGATAACCTGTGCAATACTGTCCATAGTTAAGTCCACCCCTCGATCAAGAGCCCGTCTATATGTTGCATCTCTTCCTTGATGGCCTGAGGCATCATGGGCCCACCGAGCTATAAATAATTCACCCTTATGTTGCCAGTCCAGATCCACCTGAGCCACTTCAATCTTAGCAGCCTGATACACCTGCTGGTTGTTTTGATATTTTTCAGTGGCCCGACTCTTGGGTACATGAGCATCTACGTGATGAACCTTTACAACCAGGTTCTCTACCCAGGCAGCAATATCTTGCCGCAATGTGGCAGCCCAGATGGGTTTGCCTCTGCACTGCCAGTTGCTCTGCTTCTACTGCTGCAACCACCCCCACAGGGCATTTGCTGCCATCCATGAGTCAGTATAGAGATAAAGTACTGGCCACTTTTCTCGTTCAGCAATGTCTAAAGCGAGCTGGATGGCCTTTACTTCTGCAAATTGGCTTGATTCACCTTCTCCTTCAGCAGTTTTTACAACTTGCCGTGTAGGGCTCCATATAGCAGCTTTCCATCTCCGGTGCTTTCCTACAATATGACAGGATCCATCAGTGAATAGAGCATATTGCTTCTCATTTTCTGGCAGTTTATTATACAGTGGGGCCTCCACAGCATGTCACCTCCTCCTCTGGTGATATTCCGAAATCTTTGCCTTCTGGCCAGTCCATGATCATTTCCAAGATTCCTGAGCGACTGGGGTTTCCTGTTTGAGCCCATCATGTGATCAGTGCAACTCACTTACTCCACATAGCATCAGTTGCATGATGTGTAGAGGGGACCCTCCCTTTGAACATCCAGCCCAGCACCGGCAGTCGGGGTGCCAGCAGGAGCTGTGCTTCAGTACCAACCACTTCTGAAGCAGCTCGAACCCCTTCATATGCTGCCAGTATCTCTTTCTCAGTTGGAGTATAGCGGGCTTCGGATCCTCTGTATCCCCGACTCCAAAACCCTAGGGGTCGACCTCGAGTCTCCCCTGGTGCTTTCTGCCAGAGGCTCCAGGTAGGGCCATTCTCCCTAGCTGTGGTGTAGAGCACATTCTTTACATCTTGCACTGCCCGAACTGGCCTGAGGGCTACTGCATGAACTATCTCCTGTTTAATTTGTTCAAAGGCTTGTTATTGTGCAGGGCCCTATTTGAAATCATTCTTCTGGGTCGCTTGATAGACAGGGCTTACAATCAGACTGTAATTTGGAATATGCATTCTCCAAAAACCCACAATGCCTAAGAAGGCTTGTGTTTCCTTTTGCTAGTTGGTGGGGACATAGCTGTTATTTTGTTGATCACATCCATTGGGATCTGATGATATCCATCTTGCCATTTTATTCCTAAAAACTTGATCTCCTGTGCAGGTCCCTTGACCTTACTTTGTTTTATGGCAAAACCAGCCTTTAGAAGGATTTGGACTATTTTCTTCCCTTTCTCAAAAACTTCTGCTGCTGTATTGCCCCACACAACAATATCATCAATATACTGCAGATGTTCTGGAGCTTCACCCTGTTCCAGTGCCGTCTGGATCAGTCCATGGCAAATGGTGGGGCTGTGTTTCTACCCCTGGGTCAGTCAATTCCAAGTGTACTGGGCACCCCTCCAAGTGAAAGCAAACTGTGGCCTGCACTCTGCTGGCAAAGGGATTGAGAAAAATGCATTAGCAATATCAGTTGTGGCATACCACTTGGCTGCCTTTGACTCCAGTTCGTTGAAGTTCTAGCATGTCCGGCACGGCAGCACTCAGCAGCGGTGTGGCTTCAGTCAGACCATGATAGCCTACTGTTAGTTTCCACTCTCCATTTGACTTTCGCACTGGCCACATGGGACTGTTAAAGGGTGAGTGAGTTTTGCTGATCACTCCTTGGCTCTCCAGTCGATGAATCAGCCTATGGATTGGAAACAGGGAGACCACCTGTGCACCATTGTGGTAGTGATCAGCACCCGTTTTCTTTTACCCTCAGCAACCCCACAACAGAAGGGTCCTCCGAGAGACCAGGCAAGGTGGATAGCTGTTTAATTTCCTCCATCTCCAAGGCAGCTATACCAAAAGCCCACCAGTAACCTTTTGGGTCCTTCAAATACCCTCTCCTGAGGTAGTCTATGCCAAGGATGCATGGAGTATCTGGGCCAGTCACAATGGGGTGTTTTTGCCACTCATTCCCGGTTAGGCTCACTTTGGCCTCTAATAGAGTTAGCTGTTGGGATCCCCCTGTCACTCCAGAAATACAGATGGGTTCTGCCCCTATGTAGCTTGATGGCATTAGGGTGCACTGTGCACCAGTGTCCACTAGAGCCTTATATTCCTGTGGGTCTGATGTGCCAGGCCATCAAATCCACACAGTCCAGTAAACCCGGTTGTCCCTTTCCTTCATCTGGCTGGTGGCAGGG